CAGTGAAATCCCCTCAGGATTTATCCTAAGATCCTGTACCTCAGATTGTAGAACCTTTGTCAGTGTCAACCATGTGGATGAGTCACGGCCATTGCTTGGCCAATATGCTTGCCATCCAGATTTTATACTGTTACTATTACGTGTGTATGAATTCATAACAGTACATATTATTTTGCATATTTATGAAATATTAGCCTTTTATTGTATAAGTTATTCATTGAAAATTACATATTTGTAATTATGGGTTATACATTTTGGTTCCATTGTTTAAATCTGTGAAGAACCCACTGGACACTTACTGAAATTTCATTGATTTCATTTGGGAAAGACTCGCAGTTACACTCTTGAACACACTACTTAGTACTCTTTGCTGTACAGTTCTTGCACATCTTTTGTTAGATTTATTTTTACAGTTCTCCTTACTAGTTCCAATACAGACTTTTTTCTGCTTGTTACATGAAATGTAATTTAATGCAGTTGTATTATTTCAGAAAATGCTCAATATATACAAATGGCCCTCTTTTAAGAGTTTTAGAGAATAGAAGGTGGTTTGTCAGCAATATGTAGAGGCAGATGATGTTTTGATCTGGACAGTGACCTGCAAGGGTTCATAGGGAAGATTTTAATCCTGCACAAATCACAAAACTGAGACCTCTGAAAGTTAAATGGTCTGTGTCAAGACGTCTGGAAAGTAGGGGCGTTTTGCCACGGACAGTACCCTGCAGCCGAGATTTACCGCTAGAACACACTGCGGCTGTGTTCTCTCTGTCCACCTCTCCCTCTCTGGGCCAGCCTTCCAGCACTGCATTTCATGTTGCCTTGCAGCGGATGTCTCCTGATTGCCGCCCCCTCTGTAATCTGCTCTGCAGAAAGGGGGCCTGTAGGATGCGGCCTGCTCGTGCTACGCCCCCCTGCCTCCCATTGCTCCCGGACAGTTGCGTGCAGAGCTCTGCAGCCGTGCTCCTCACTCCTCACAGCCCTCTGTCCACTCACGCTGGGGAGTGTGCTTGATGCTGTGGAAGTGCTCTAGGCCCTTTCCTCCTCCTCTGTCCTGCGCCCTCTTTACCTGCATCACTAAGAGCTTTTCCTGGTACCTCCTTTCATTCTCCAAGATAGGTTATCTCTTTGTTGCTGCAACCTGAATTTTTTTCATAGTGTTCCTCATGGGTACAGTCATTCTATTGGTCTTTTCTGCCAGGTAGAGAGCAAAGTCCCACAAAGGCATATGTGTGTTACTACCATCTCTAATCTTACCAGCTACCATTGTTCAGTAAGGTTTTACTATTAAGTAAAATACTGGTTATATTTATTTTATTTTGTTTTTTAATATATTTAGTACAGGGTCTGCAGGGTCTCACTACACAGAT